CCAGGCAGAACAGATGAACCTGGTAGTACAGCACCTGCTTCGACATTATATTAAGCCAAGTCAGGATGACTGGGACGAGAAGTTACCTCTCGTCGCGAGCCTGTACAACAATGTTGTGCACAGTACTACCGGTATGACTCCCAACCAGTTACATCTTGGTTGGAAGCCCAGAACTGCACTCGACTTTCTGCTACTAGAAAGACAACCCACTGCAGCACCTGGCAGCATAGACTTTGCTGTCAAATATGAACAGATGCTGCAGCAGGCCGTTGAACATATTAGGAAGTCTCAGGATGCTATGATCGCATCCGAGAATAAACATACATAGCCCTCTAACTTTCAGGTAGGTGATAGAGTCTGGGTAAAGTTATCTAAACTAGGTCAGGAGATGGGGATATCACGAAAACTGATGCCACAGTACTTTGGTCCCTGGGAGATCTTAGACATTGTAGGGGATCAACCGGATGGGCCTTCATACGTGATTCGTATTCCTGCACACTTACGCACTTACCCTGTGTTCCATGCCTCTAAGTTGGCACCATTCGCTGCTACTGACCAGTTTCCCTCAAGGAGATCAATGCTGCCCCCAACCATGGATTGCGAGGTGGACATCGACCAGATCGTGGAGCATCGAGTAATGCCTGTTCCTCGACCATTAGGCAGAGGGCGCCCTCTTAAACCGAGAATGCAGTATCGTGTGAGCTTCAGACATCATCTGGATCCCAAGGAAGATCGTTGGTTCACACGAGAAGAACTTCTGAGAACAGCACCTCAAGTGATAGCGGGCTATGAAAGAGAACTGAAAGGAAAGATGCCTGCAGACTAAGAGACTTCTCAGAGGACTAACGAAGTAAAGGAGGAGGGAATGCGAGGATCTGGGGTCCTCGGCAGGCCTAAGGGGCCCCAATTGCAGTGGTGCCCGCCCTAAGTGAAGGCGGGCCTAACTTATCACAAGAGGCCTTTGACTGTCAATTTCATATTTGGGGTACAGGCAGTTGCGACGTGCCAGTTGGTTGAAAGAAACACAGGCCGAGCAACAAAGACATTTTCACGGCCTACCGGGCCTTTCCAAAGAATGCAGGCCCTGGGCGTGAATCGCAGCCTCATACACTGACAGTTGGAAGGCCCAACCGAACGGGGCCCAGTAGCTGCAGA